ATATGTCAGTGTGGTTTAAATATTGGTGACCTCAACCATATTTTTTTCTCGTGTCCTTTATATGATCATACTTTATTATTTAATTATTTTATTACTTTATTTACGTTCCCTTTTAATTTATTCTAAAAAAAATAAGAATGTTTTCAATTGGCTTATGGAATATTTAGAATCAAATAATATTAAGTTATAAAATTTTATTCATTATTTAGCATTCCCTAGTCTTTATATAGTTTTATTTCATATTTTTAATGTGGTAATGCGTTTAGTTTTATTTTAATTCTATATAATATAACATTTTAAAATATTTTATTATATACAATATTAAAAACTATAATAATAATAGAAAAAACTACAACTAGAAACTTAATTATCATATAGTCCTACGCCCCGCGGTATCGTGCCAAGAACGCTGGCTGCGTTTCCCCGCTGAATGACTATACTTAGCCTTTGGGCGAGAAAAGAACCAGCCCTCTTATCACCAGCAGCAACGACCAGCCGCGGATGGAATTCCTTTAGGAACTTCACCGTACGTGGTCCCCACGGACCGATAGTCTCTACAGCAAATGGCACAAATATGTAGTCATCTCTCACAGACTCATATTTGCGCCACTTACTCAGTTCACCTGCCTCTGATGCCGCCCCGGCTCTAACCGAGGTACCCCTGAGATGAGAGGCCGCCAGAGTGTCTACGCAAGTAGCATCCCACACAAGGTTTTACCTTTCTCCCAAGGGATATAATATAAATATAATATAATATTCTTCATTTATTTAGTAAACTTCAGTACAAGTCGTTTCATACTTCATTAGTTCTTAATTTTATTCGGTTTTTAATCAGAATCATAGTTTTCATTTTTATTGTTCGTCGTTTCTTACAAGTATTATTTATTGACTGGAGGCTGGCACTAATTGTAAGGTTGCCATAAAAATAAAGTTTATGATGCATACACTGATGTACGCAGGACGCATTATCATGAAGTTATAGATAAAGATGGAGGCCACACTTGGAACCATAGACATCAATCCTCTATCTACGCTTGGAACAACAGCTTGAGTCAAATACCTACGTATCTTTATCTCACTCTCTGTGGTCAGACTTCTCTTTTTAGTGTGGAACACAATATTGCTATGTTTTTATTTGAATCTCCCGGTAAATTCTTAGAAATAATTTCCACACTAACTAAATCAGAAGTTAAGCTTTGTAAAATAATGTACCAATAAATAAATAGTTGATCTACGATTAGTTACATTAAAAATTCCAAAATTGAAGGTCTCGTATGCATTATTGGGTTCACGAATCAGTGAATTACAATCCCATTTCCTAAGGGTTCGGTAATGTGGCAACATTAGCCCTATAAATTAGACAAATATGGCGATTGTTTACTTAGCAGTGCACAGCGTCGTTTGAGATATTTAAAGTTAATTATTGTTATAATTCAAGAAATGGTGCAAACTTGTGTAGTATGTGGTTGCGGCAGTAGTTGGTGTCCAGGAGGTGATATATAAACAAAATAGTGACTTCTGACATTGAATACTTATAAACATACTTTATGTATTTTCACTTAATTTTTTGCTGAAACGTTTTATCAGTGTTTTAAACATATTAGTAAATTATAACTTTGTCAAAATCAAATAGTTTTACATTGAATTTAATTAAGTTTGAACAATTTTATTGTTTTTGTTTAAAAGAAATCGCATTGAAGTAGTGTGACCATATTGACGATGTATCTGAGACTTTCCGTGTGACCTTAACTAATTATATGTACATGTTTCTTATTATGTTACCGGAAATGCATGAAATTTAGGAATAGACTTCTATTATGTACACTTCCTATATATTCTATGTAATAACGGATTTCATAGATTTCATAATATTAAATTAAAAATTAGTAACATAATATATTCTTTTGGTAGACAGTTTATTTTTATTTAGTTTTTGTTTCTCATTATTCTGATACTTTAATAACGTTTATAATAATTATGTATTTAGAAATGTAGTAGTTTAGATGTATGATATAAAGCAACATTTTGTAAAATATGTTATTATTTGCAGACAACAAGTGCATTACATGAAGAGTCAATTTTTATTGTGCAATTAGCTGCTCTGGCTGTACCAAGCACTAGTTCTGGCATTTATGAAAGTAGTTCTGCACTTAAGGAAACAGAAGTGAAATGTATTGGCTGTAATATTGAAGATCAAACTAGTAAAAAACAATGTCGAAATATTCTTGAAAATTTATGCAATCTTAACAAATTACCTGTAAGTTTCCTTTTCCTTTATTACTAAATACATACCTTTTATTTGTATTTATTATGACTACGATGTACAATGCTAAAAATACTGATTTCATAAAGTTTTCTTGTTTTCTTAGGTCAGCAGTGAATACGACGATCCCGCGAAGATTGATAGGGGCGTGCAAGTGAAAATAAAGTGTACTAAAGAAGAAATACTTGAGACGAAAACTAAGATTCTTAAGCAAAAAGTGGCGCGCCAAACTAAAAAATTCAGGATAGGTCTTCTTTAATGGACACTATTAAAAAGTATACGGGTCAGTCAGAAATTGAAAATATTATTCAAGGGCGCTTTGCTCATATCTGTAAGGACTTCAAAAAGCCACAGAGTAAACCACATGGTGTGAAAAATTTCAATAAATCATTTTAATATGGAAAGTGTTTTTATTTATTTTTTTAAGGTTTTTAACAAACCATGTAGTGGCGGTGTGAGAATATCCACTACCCCATATCGTTCCGAGGGTGTTGTAAGAGGTGTCAGAGGGAAAATGAAACAGGAGATGGGCAGCGGCATCTTCCTGATAACAACTCAATATAATAATATATTATCGTTCCTATTATAGTACATATGTTACTAGAAATCTATGCAATCCGTTATTATATAGAATTCCTAGGAATTGTAGATAATTCTTAAAATGAACTGGTTGTGTGTTTTCTTAGGTCAGCAGTGAATACGACGATCCCGCGAAGATTGATAGGGGCGTGCAAGTGAAAATAAAGTGTACTAAAGAAGAAATACTTGAGACGAAAACTACGATTCTTAAGCAAAAAGTGGCGCGCCAAACTAAAAAATTCAGGATAGGTCTTCTTTAATGGACACTATTAAAAAGTATACGGGTCAGTCAGAAATTGAAAATATTATTCAAGGGCGCTTTGCTCATATCTGTAAGGACTTCAAAAAGCCACAGAGTAAACCACATGGTGTGAAAAATTTCAATAAATCATTTTAATATGGAAAGTGTTTATATTTATTTTTTTAAGGTTTTTAACAAACCATGTAGTGGCGGTGTGAGAATATCCACTACCCCATATCGTTCCGAGGGTGTTGTAAGAGGTGTCAGAGGGAAAATGAAACAGGAGATGGGCAGCGGCATCTTCCTGATAACAACTCAATATAATAATATATTATCGTTCCTATTATAGTACATATGTTACTAGAAATCTATGCAATCCGTTATTATATAGAATTCCTAGGAATTGTAGATAATTCTTAAAATGAACTGGTTGTGTGTTTTCTTAGGTCAGCAGTGAATACGACGATCCCGCGAAGATTGATAGGGGCGTGCAAGTGAAAATAAAGTGTACTAAAGAAGAAATACTTGAGACGAAAACTACGATTCTTAAGCAAAAAGTGGCGCGCCAAACTAAAAAATTCAGGATAGGTCTTCTTTAATGGACACTATTAAAAAGTATACGGGTCAGTCAGAAATTGAAAATATTATTCAAGGGCGCTTTGCTCATATCTGTAAGGACTTCAAAAAGCCACAGAGTAAACCACATGGTGTGAAAAATTTCAATAAATCATTTTAATATGGAAAGTGTTTATATTTATTTTTTTAAGGTTTTTAACAAACCATGTAGTGGCGGTGTGAGAATATCCACTACCCCATATCGTTCCGAGGGTGTTGTAAGAGGTGTCAGAGGGAAAATGAAACAGGAGATGGGCAGCGGCATCTTCCTGATAACAACTCAATATAATAATATATTATCGTTCCTATTATAGTACATATGTTACTAGAAATCTATGCAATCCGTTATTATATAGAATTCCTAGGAATTGTAGATAATTCTTAAAATGAACTGGTTGTGTGGAATATAGTATTATACACATTTCAGCTCAGAGCAGCCTGACTCGGATGGGTTAGGTCAGAAGGCTAAGGCAGGAGCTCCGCTACGCTGCTTTAGTCCTCGTGATATTTTTTAAAATAATTGTCCAGAAATAGATTTAGTCTGTCTGAACAATAAATCAGGTATATTTTGCCCAATTCATTGATCACCCGGGGTTATAATAAATTTTAATTTTATATTCCGTTGGTACCGTTTAGGAATTGTATACAATAACCAGAAAATACATTATCGAAATGGTAGTTTTAAAATATTCTCTGATATATTTATTTTCCACATTTTCTAAATAGGCTCGGCATTATATGGGTTGTGACGGAAATGCGTGGTCATATTTTAATACCGGTTCTGCCCATGGAAATGAAAACCTTTCTTCATAAAACTAGTCAGTTCCCAAAAAAAATTGTACAAAGATATATAATTGTATATAGGCTAGGTCTTAGTAGTAAACAGAGATATAGATATTTATAAATAAAACACTTAATGTAACTCAACTACTTATAGCGATATCCTGGGAAAAATAAAATAAAGGTAACCTACTTAGAAAGGGAGGGTCTGCCCACAGAGAGCGAGATAGTAATACATAGGTTAAGCTTCAAGTAGGTATTCGGAGTGTGGTCTCCACTTTATATATAGTAGTAATAGTTTGTTGAATACTCTCGGAGGAATATACTCTTTGGTCTATGGTCGCCAACTATTCGCCTGTGCGCCTGTTCGGTGTTCGCCATCTTTAGTCGCCATTTTGATAAGTAGTGATTTCGTGAACGTGAAACGCGTGAAATAGATTCCTACAACGATTTTAATTTCTAACTGAATATCAGAAACTATCAAGTTTATTTTTAGAAGTGTTCTCAAAATAACGCATTGCTATGTCCGACCGAAAAAGACTACTCGAAGAGCTTAGAGTAATAGATTTACGCGCAGAATTGGAAAAGCGCAACCTCGATAAGACCGGTATTCGTAGTGTGCTTCTTCAGCGCTTGTCTAAGGTAATACTAAAGTACTAGATTTACTGTACTCATGAAAAGAAAGTTTCTAAAAGATAACTATCTAGACATTTGTATGAATGATTTTTCCTAAAGACTACCCTAATAAATGCCATGTGTATAATAATTTGAAAACGTTAATCTTGCAACTAATTACATAACCAAATACCAAAAAAGTGTTTGATTCCTATAAATACATTATTTTATTCATCTAAACAGTTAAATTTACGTATACAAAATATAAACAATCTAAATCAAAATGTTTTGTTTTTTCTAGCATTTAGAAGAAGAGGGACATGATCCAACCACTTACAGATTTGAGTTAAGCTCTTCAGAGAGTAATACACCTTCGAAAAGAACAAGACGGACTGAAAGCTCGGTAGAACAGGAATCTGAGAATGCTCCAGCTATGGAAGATATGATTGTTCAAGATACAGCGGGTGATGAAGAAGAAACTGAGCAAGCTGTGGAAACGAACCAAAGCTCAAACCCAAACCAAGAAGACAATAAGAATTCAGAAGAAAAAATGGATGTCGATGAGAATGAAAAAGTTTGTAGAAAGAGAGAACTCAAAGATGATTCTGATTCTACACAAGCTAAAAAACCGTGCATTGATAAGGAATCCAAAAATGATGATGATCATAAAACTGAAAATAATACTGATGCTGAAGACAGCATCAACTTAGACATTGGTGATGATGAACTATTGAATGAAGAGGTATGTTTCTATGTCTTCAAAGTCAATTTTAAGCTGACTCCAGTAGCCTCTAAAATTTCCAATGGGTATATGATGGAAATAGATTAAAAATTTTAAAAGATTTTAGATTAAAAATATGTTAGATGCTTCTGTTATTAAAGAAAATTTGTTACAATAATTGATCTATTCTTTTAATAGTCATTGTGATCTAACTTAGATTGTTAGTTTGATTATCTAAAAGTTTAGTATTATATAACTACATCTTAATGCATGATTGTTAATATCTAATTGACATACCTTATTTTGCATCACAAACTAGCTAACAAATCAATAAGCTCATTATATTTTTACTTATTATTTCAGACTGACAATCCCGCAAAAAACAAAAAAGGTAAGTTTCAGATTATTAACTACAAACATGAAATAGGTAACTACTTTAACTTTCGTTTTTTGTTTTAATATGTATGAACATCAATAAAATCTGAATGTGACATTACTGATCAAATCTATGTTTTCATATTAATGTAATAAACAATTTTGTGAAGTGTTGCTTGGTATAGGAGCAGAGAAATTCTTATGAGAAGAGAACTGACATAATTGATGATACAACTGACATAAAGATCACAGATACCAACAGAAGCACTTAACTTATTAAAGAAGACAAGAAAACCTGACCTTGGAGAACATTTGTCAAAGAAAAGTACAAATGTGCAATGAGAGTATTAAAAGCATTGTTAAGGTGGTTTATTCAATTTAGTTATTAAAAAGACACTTGTCACACCCCTTTTCAGAGTGCTACATAAATGTCTGCTCATAGTTATCATAGAAGCAGTGACGCTTTATCGCTCCGTGTCTTCCATAAAGGCAGTGGTGCTAATATCAAATCAAGTTTTCAGGTCAAGATATTTTTTTTACATACAAGAGTAATGTTCAAAATTCAAAGTTGTGGGCCTTTCTCTGAAGAATGAAGAAAGACAGGACGAGACGCTCGCAATGAGCGACTCGTGCTGGCGTGCTGACTTTGCTGACAATCAATACTGACTTAGATGACCCGGCCCATGAGGATGCGGTGGAGACAACGGGCGACGTGACTGCTGCGAACAACTCTACAGCTGCCACCGACTCCGTGCCGGCTGAAAACGAACAAGAAGTAAACAGCGAAGCCCCTGCCATTAGGTTGGTGAACGCCGAATGGCCGTCGGGACGCCCGCGTGCATCTATAATCCTCGATAGCTAAAACATACTTTTTTATATTCGTCTATCACTACAAAGTTTTGCACCTAATAGTAACCAAGGATGGCCATGGTGATACTTCGAGAATAGTCAGCTGGACTCTGCTTGGGCAACAATCAAGGTGTACTGCACGTCGTGTGCTGCGTCGCTACTGTGCAGTGTCAATGGGCAGCTATGAAGAAGTCACCATATTTCAGGAGGGATCTACTCTTCAGTGTCTTCTGCATCGAGTTAAAACACACCTGCACATCAGCAGCTCCTGTCAAAGCATATGTCAACCATCATAAAATGCGTTGGAGTTATGGTGCAAAACTTTGTAGTTATGTGTGTTGCTAAAAAGATAATTGTTTCAACTTTTAGTTCTTAATGGCACATATTTGGTCTATATATTTACATTAGTTACAATTTTTGAATTACAAAACATTATATTCTTAAAATTTTTTTCAGCAATGAGAGTGAAACAAATGAAAAGGATCAAAAAGGTAGTGTAGATTTATTGTTTGAATTTATAAAAGCTTGTTATAAACTGTTATATATCTGTAACTCTAATATTTAATTAAACAGATGACAAAAACAAGGAAAATGAAAGTGAAAAAAAGGATATTAAGAAAGATGATAGTAAAGAAGGTGGTGCCCGCAACCTTTGGGTTAGTGGCCTTTCTGGTGACACACGGGCCAAAGATTTGAAACAGTTGTGCAGCAAACATGGCAAGGTAAACTAATTAGTGAAGTATTATATGATAATTTTTGTAAAATGTGTCCAATTAACTAAATTTTTTATCAGTTCTGGGTTTTAAGTTTAAAATATTGAAAGATTATTCATCGATGCTTTAAAATTAATAAATCAATAGTAACAGGTAATAATACCACATAAAACATTGGGTGTATGATGCATTTTACTAATTAGTAAGTTATTTTAAACAAATTAGGAAACTTATATATAAATTTGCTGAAAATGTAAATATGTATAATATAGGTACTACTTTATTTTTTTAATATTTTTATGAAAGAAAAATTTAATAACAATAAAATATTAACTTAATTTAGAAATTGTCAGCTAATCCAAATAAGAAAATGTAATAGTCACAGACTGGTTTCTGTAACTTCATAATTAAAGCCATATTTTTAACCTAGCTTCTCGAGAAATTCTAGCAACATCTTGATATTGTTAAAGATCTTAAATAATATTGTAGTGATTCCTGTTAACACAAACTTACCAATACTTTATTAAAAAAAAAAATTGCTTTACAGAAGAAGAGAGAAATAGAATTTACATTTAGGTGTTCAACATTCTGAAATCATTGTTAACCTGGGCTACCTTATGCTTTCATTGATTAATTTTGTGGTCTGATCAACACAGAGTTCTATATTATCAAAAAACCATAAACCTCTGATCTGCTTTTTCCATTACCATTACAGCCTACTAATGTCCGCTGATGAACATATACCTCCCCCATAGATTGTCTCATGATGGATATTTGTCATAATTAATAGAATCAGGCGTTACTTTGCGGAAATCCATTATATAAAAGCTCTTACAAAAATTTACTTCGTAAATATCCGCGTTATAAAATAAAATGATGTGTCTTACCTAGTATGAAGAGCACCTCCCGCCCTCCCTCAATTGCGTGCACTATCCCCGTCACCACTAATCTCAGCACCGCTACTCCCAACACCAATACACTAGGCAAGACACACCACTGACGATAATACGACACGTGTTTCGCCTCTACACGAGGCATCCTCAGGTGATATAGACTCTACGGTGGCTAACCGCTAAGCTTAGCTAAGCTAAGAGCTCTTGGATATTTGTCATCCATAAAAAATTAGTTATTGAGTTTTTCCATCAAGAAATTCTCAGTAGCTGCCCAGTGTCAGGAAGTTGGTGGTGTCTCCCCTCGTACCTTGGAAAGCATGTAATGCTGTTGGTCCTGCGTGTGAACTCTCTACAGTCGTGTCAATGCTATGTTCATGAGTGAGGGAGTAGAGAGTGTACCTGCAGCTGCACATACATTTGGACACTATAATCTGATGACATAAAATGGCTAGTCTCCATTGAGGCTGGCCGCCGTGACGTTTGGAGAACATTATTTGCCATAGTTGCCATGCTTGGCAAGCGGGTTGGCTACCGCAATTTATTTATTTTTAATTTTGTTTGATTTGTTTCCCTCTGTCGCCTCTTACGACACCCACGGGATGATATGGGGTAGTGGTAGTGGATATTTTTACACCAACTACTCGGTTCTCCTGTTAAGAACAATTAATTCCAAATAAATACATGTAAAGTGTGTGTGTGTGTGTGTGAATTCCTGTTTTGAAATAAATCCACTTTGTAGTGGCAGTGTATGAGAATCCACTACCCCATATCATCTTTTGGTTGGAGGGAAATGAAGCAGGAAAAGGCCAAGAACTTCTTCCTTTATAAACTGTAATGAATAATAAATATATATAAATCATAGAAACTAACTGATGCCATTAAATATCAATTTGAAAACTCAATCACAGAAGTGATTGACACTACACAGTTGCATGTAGAATATCCACTACCCCATATCGTCCTGTGGGTGTCGTAAGAGGGGACAGAGGAAAACAAACCAGGGAATGAGCAGCAGGGTCTTCCAAATATCAACCTGCCACCAAGCATGGCAACTATGGCAAATGTCGCCCGATGAGGCAATCTATGCGGTTGTAACAGTAAAAACAAATGCTGCACAATATGAACTTATCTTTTTAGTTCTTTGATTAATGTTCACTAATATGAGTAAATATATGACTTTTTGGCATCTGCATCCAAGTTTTTAACGTCAACTGGAAGAGATTTGTCTATTTTCATTCCAATAATGCTACTTAATAGCACATGTTTCTATTTCAGATATTGAATCATAATTGAATTATAGGCAACATAAACAAATAGTTTGAAAATATTAGATTAGATATATATTTATATTACCTAAGTGTTCCATAAAAATGATGATGTGTGTACATGAGGTCCTGTAGCCTAAACATTCTTCAGATTAATTGTTCATTTTTGGTGTCATAGGTTTGATTATATTGTATGATGATAAAAGCAATACAACACTTTCAAAACCCATTTGATATTAGGTTGGTTTTTTTTTATATTAAATTTACATTGACAGATCAGACATGCATCTACAACATTATATATATATAGATAGTCCTGGTGTTAGAGATAATGTTTTAACTATTTATCTTCAATTGGCCTAGGTAATTGGAGCTAAGGTGGTCACTAATGCAAGAACACCCGGTTCACGTTGTTATGGATATGTCACTATGGCTAGTGCCCAGGATGCAGAAAATTGTATCAAGAATTTACACAGAACTGGTGAGCCCATTATGATTGCTTTTAATTCTTGTATCTATTTAGGATTCATTTAATTATTTATTACATAAACTTATAACATTTTTTATGAATATGATATAAATAATACAGTGATACAAAAGATATAAGATATGCTACATTCTACCTTATTAATCAGTAGTGCAGTGGTTAATTTGGTTACGGCGCTGCGAGGCCGCGGGTTCGAATCCCTGGCGAAACATGTGTAAGTGTTACAAGTGTATGTAAACAAATAATCATTCCAGGTCTGTATGTTGGTTAATGTGCAATTTATGTATATAAATCACCTCCACGATACAGGAGAAAATCCTTAGTGTAACATGTAGAATTTTTTTTTTGCACTTCAAAATGTCTTTGTTTACAATTGTTTAGAACTCCATGGCCGAATGATTTCTGTGGAGAAGGCAAAATCAGAATCGGAATCAGCGTCGCGCAGACAGCTACCAGCTCGACCGGAGCGACGACCAAGCAAGGACCGCAAGGATGAAGTTAAAGAAAATCAGGTTTGTTAAAACATAACCATTCATATATATAGTAAATACTTATTTATTAAAGAAATTATTTCATCGAGTAAAATTTATTACCCGATAACCCGACTACCCACGGGGAGGGCAGCGAATTAGTAATGTTTTTCGAAAGCATGTGTACTATAACTTGCTGCAGGCTAAAGGTGTAACGTATTTAGAAGTGACAGGTGTCATTACATTCATCTCTATATGTGACATTCCAGCGGCAAAAGTACCTTACGGTGGGTATTGAGTTAAGCATATTCCTGTAATCTGCGACTGATAATCTATTCAAATAAGAAAAGATTGTCCTCGTAACATGTGTAGTTATGGAGATATTAATTTTTGAAAATGTTAATTGAAATTGTACACTTAGGAAATGGCTATTTTAAGCTATTATAAGTTTTCGTAGGACACGAAAAACTATGTTATTGTTGTAAGTTACATACTGAGCAGGGATTAATTATTTTTAGTTTCTAAAAATAAAGCTAAAAAATTAATTTAACAAATGAGAAACTTGATAATGGGTCATTTATTGTGTCTTCTGAACATTTTTTGGAAATTATAATTTTTTTAATTTTAGTAATATTTTTACATTGAAGCCTCCATATTTTAATTAGATCCATTAGAAGACCAGTGACAATTGTGTGCGAAAAATAAAACAAAATACGAAATAAAATCAAGTTTTATTTTTTATTATAAGAATCGCGTTACATTACCATTACTTTTTCATTGTAATAAACAAAATATTCTTTGGATAAATCAATGTAACACTTCTATTAAAATATGACACAGGTAACAGAATCTTATTTTTAATTTTTTACTCTTAAACTTGCATAACAATCACAGTCATTGTTCCATACATTTGAGAAAAGGTACCTTATGGTAATTATAATAAATTCGAAAATATGAAATTAACAAGACACGCTTGGATAAGTCACTACTATTATAATCAAATAATGTATTAATTCTGATAATACAAAGAAAAAAGGAGGTGATTAATTTTTATTTAAAGAAAAGGATCCTTATGGAGCATTTAGATAGATTAAAGATGTGACTGCTCTAAACGCCATTTTTTTTACAAAAACATTCCGCCGCGAACTTGGTTTCTGTGACCAACTTCAGCACATTAAATAGACGTAGGTTTTTTTACGTGTTTTGACCTCGAGACCACTTCAACTAGGCTGAGACCGCATATTAAGTGTTGGCAGGACTTTCGAAACATTTTCCAAAGGATCTTGTCAGGTTTAGGGCAAAGTAAAAAAAAAGAGTGGTAGATGTTAAAACCCAAAGCTGAACATGTTAAATTTTTTTTAATAGTTATTTCTAAATTTCTTAAGGCATGGTCATAAGGTACCTTTTCTACTAAACTTTTAGATCACATTTTAAGCTAGTGGCTTACATAAAATAAAAAACAAAAATATGAAAAAGGAAAAATATTAAGTAATAAAAAAAACGTATTTTGTCTCATATTAACAAAATAAATAACTGAAAATAAAACCTCCATATGGTACCTTTTCCCGTGGAACGTCACATATTATCCTAAACCCCACATATATGCAAAGTAGAAAAATCATTACCAGGGTTCAACCACTTCTAGCCATATATAGGTATTTGTCTCACATTGGCCTGGAACTTATAGGTCCCTTGTTTATGTATGATTTATAACAAAAATTAATATGCATGCTACTTATAAACCCATTACACCTTGTCTCATCATGCATGACATGACCAATCTTTCTGAAATTAAAATGTATCCTCTTTGTCTTTAAATCAGTATTATAAAGATTAAATAGAATAAAATTAAAGGTATATAGGGGTTTTTTAACATAACTGATAAAAATGTATATACCAATTTATATTTTATACTTAAAGGATAGTAAAGAAGGGGGAGAAAAAAGCGCGGAAATAAAAATTAAGAAGGAGGGCGAAGTGTCGGGTGCAGAAAGTACTAGATCTCCCTCGCGCACTCGAGAAAAATCTCATCGTTCTGACAAGGTATTTATATTATAATTTGAATGCCATCTTAATATAATAATCTAGCATATATATTTATTTTTTCATTTCATTATATTTAAGGACCGTACAAAGCGCAGTACACGCAGTCGCGAACGAAGGAGATCGCCTAGAGAAGTTCTCTCGTTTTCAAAGATTTGGGTAAGTATAATATAATATAGTTGAGAAATAGTTGATAATTTTCATATCTACTATGATCAGCCGTAGCTCAGAAGCAGGGCAGATCGCCTTAACCTTCATAAAACTCAACCAACTTCAGTGAGTTAGAATTAAAAGATATTCCTTAATGAACAAAATACAATTTAGTTTTCAACTATGTATGATCACTTTTTTTCCAGACTTCGATAGGCCATTATCTTGATTTGATAAAACATATATATATAATAGGTCGGGGGAAAAGTTTCTTAGTATTTTGTTAATATAAAATTGAAGAAAAATGTATTTGCTTGTACTGTTTGAAAAAAAAAGTAAAAAAACGTTTTTCTATCATTTTTCAATTGTTTTTCCATTTTTGAAAAAGTGGAGCAAGATCGGCACATTAATAGTTACGACATAGCCGAGGAATTGAGGATTGACCACAACACAACCACAACAGTTTTGAAAAGATTAATCACTGGTGATGAAAAGTGGATCACCTTTGACAAGAACATGAAAAAAGATCATAGTCAAAGGTAACTCAAGCTCCACAGACTGTAGCAAAACGCAGATTAAAACGCAATAAGGTGATGCTGTGTGTATGGTGGGATTGGAATGGCATTGTTTATTATGAGCTTTACCACCAGGCAAAACCATCGATTCGGATCTATTGCTATCTCTACTGCCAACATCTAATAAAACTCTTAACATGAGATTGAGAAAAAACGGCCGGAATTGATCAATAAAAAAGGAATGGTCTTTTATCATGATAACGCCAGACCACACAAATCTTTGGCCACTCAGCCAAAATTGCCACCAGTCCTAACCTTGCACCCTCAGATTTTCACCTGTTTTGGTCTCTTCAGAATCCTTTGGGTAGTTAGTTACTTACTAACGTGATTTGCGGTGTTGCACTGCCCGCGTGACGAGAAAATAATAAATGTGTTACTTAAAACGATTAGGTAGGTAAAATATTTAAATCTTTCGCGGACCATATTTAAGCTCTTTTATTTAAGACATATTTAAGTGACTACTGGTTGGAAATCACTGCTCTATATAGTGAAATCTCAATTTAAAATCATATGTAAATTACACATTATCTGTTATTTGCATATTATGTATAGAACCACATAAAACATTCATTATAAATATAGGCATATACCTATACACATTTAAAAAATTTTATTAATTTGTAGAAAGAGCGCGATGTGGCCAGAGCAAGAGAACGTTCGCGGGCGGCTCGCGAGGAAGAGCGGCGAAGACGCGCTGCAGAGGACTCTCTGAGGGAACGGGAAAGACGACAGCGACAAGAGAAACATCGTCTTGCACTTGAGAGAGAAAAGTTACGCGCTGAAAGGTAATATTCTTCTTAAATGTATGGTCTTACATAATTTGTGGTTTTGCTGTTACTGATATCTAATAAAAAAAAATTATATATAAAAATTACGTGTTACATTGTTTGTTCGCGATGAACTCCTAAACTACTAAACTGATTGCAATGAAATTTTGCACACTGTGTGCAGTTTGGTCCAACTTGAGAGATAGGATAGTTTTAATCCCTATAAGTGACCCTTAATATTTTTTATTACGAATTTAAGAATTTTTAGGACACAGGGTCATCAGAGAGGGCAGAACAACATCTGCCTAGCCAGCTAGTATAATATAGTTTTAAGAAACTACGATTTTTATAAGCACTATATGTTCAGTGATGTGGATATATCATAGCAACGCGGACCAATTCGGGGATATCAGCTAGTTATTTTTAATAAGTTGAGTAAACAATATTTTACTAATTTATTAGATCTTGTAGGTATACTTATAGGGTTTAAATGGACAAATTTGTCGACAACTAAAACTGTAATTATTAAACATATTTTCAAATAATATATATTTAACAAACTTGTCTAATGTCATTATAAATAAAGAAATCTTATTTTCAGAGAGAAGATTGAGCGGGAGAAGAATGAACTTCTTCGTTTGGAGCGGGAAAGACATAGGTTGGAACGTGAGAAGTTAGAATTGGAAAGACTGGAATTAAAGAGAGCGCAATTACGGTTTGTTACTTATTAGTCACAATTTACTTTCACAAATTTTGTTACTGATGCTATTGAATACCAAGCTTAGTGTAAATAAATAGAGATTGTTATAATTAAACAAATATACATATGTAAGCTTTAAGTGAGCATACTACCAATGGGGATGACCTATGAATCAAAGATGTGGTTCTTTATTGCCATATAGATGGTAGAGAAACCATGCTGCAGCTGTATTATGATTAGTCCACAAATAAGTCGGCTTGACCAGTGAAAGACCACTCTTTCACTACAAAGGCATATTGATGTGTAGAGAATTAGAGCCCCTTTTTACTGGAAACCTCTTAGTCCTCAAGGCTGACAATGCATTTGGATTTGGATTCTTAATCAAGGATAGATGTAGATGTCTATGAGCCACACCATCCTCTTACCAACAGGTGGACTATGTTCTCGTTTATCACCCTTATTCTATAAGAAACATCTTAGTGTTCAGAGGTTCTATGAAAATGTTGTTATATAACAACCAAAACATATGGGGTGTCTTGTCATTTATCAACGTCTTATTTTGATTATAGTTTAGAGGAAGAGCGTCGCAAACGTGGATACGAAAGTAGCGCAGCGTATCGAAAACCGGCGTCTAGCCCGCCACCGGAGCCTGGCTATGATCGGGATCAGAGGCACAAGCGACCACCCCCACCGCCTATGGTCAGTATCACCAATTACTATGAAATGTTATGGACCTGGTGATCAACATACAAGTATAAATGTAGCAATAAAAATGTCAACAGTTGACAATTTAGCAAGTAGCATAAATGCTTTCTTAAATAATCACTTGGTTCATGACATTATTTACATTAACCATTTATTATAAAGTGACAAGAATTAAAAAAGTTGAGGTATCCTTTGTTGTTTGACTATTTTGTATTGATGTTGGTCGATCGTTTGCAAATAGAAAAAACATTTTTTTTTTTAAATAATTCATCACATTAAAGATATTCAATGGCTCTGTAAACTTTACATTTCAATAAAAATATAAGATACATTACACTAATTGGTTCACCCAAACTGGCGCTGATTGATGATTATTTTTTCCCTTTCCACCACTGGCTCTTTAGTATGGAATGCGATTGCCTTACTCATTTTGGAAATGAAATGTCTGTATTGGAGCCTGAAATTATATTTTATTTACTATAAAAAGCAGCAGTTGAACGAATACTTGCTACTATCAGGCATTCCATCTTGGTCCTCAGAGGTGACAATGCATTTATATATGTACCTTTTTGTGTAAAGATAGTTGCAGGTGTACATAGGCTGCAGGAGTCACTTACCATCAGGTAGACTGTATATGATAGACTGCTTATAACTTCATATGTTATATAAAAAGGAAGTGACATCTTCAAACAAAATCAATTAATCAGATCAATGATTGTCACTTTATAAATGAATGTGTACTAATATTTATTTAATGTAAATATAAGCTGACTGTACATTTTTTCGCGCAGACCAACATCGTACGCTCCAATAAACCTAAGCATGTAAGCAAGTTTGGAAAATCAAATTACCATTTAACTCTAAAGTACAGTTACGATTGGCAAGTATACTTTACATCTATTTTTAAGAAGTCACCATATGGTATGAATACTTAATTATTATTTTTAAATTTTGGTTGTAGACAACTGATTCTTAAAGCTTGACATTGCCAACAGAATAACTAACAAATGTTTATTTATGTCTATGTAGAATTACAATAAATATTTAAAGAGAAATATGCATTATTTACATTATGTGCAAATATGTATACAATTATTGAATTAAACAAAAGTATTTATTTAGTCAATATATTGGCTTCCTTCTCTTATTTAAGAACTAATTATAAACTGAAAGAATATAATGATTTCTAAAGAATACAGATTAAAAGAATGCATATGAATGTCATTTATACTTTCATCGCTGATTTGAAAAAAATTTGAAACTAAGCTTAATTGAAATATCATATTAGATTATTACAAATATATTTTATAATTCATAATAGTCAATAAGTATAGATATGGCTTAATTATATAAAATATTTAATCATTTATGAATTATAAATTAGTCATGAGCTTATATAAATAATGAATATATAATATTTAATTATAATATACAGTGTGGCTTCTTTCTGCTATTAACTGTCTACTATTTTAATAAAATTATTGAAGGAATTATTAAATTAATCGATTTAGTATTTAGTGATTTCTGTGTATTTATTAAGTTTAAAGCAATAATAATGATTAACATTTATATGCTTTCAAAAGACATGCATGTAGAGGTACCGTAAGAGAATCCATTACGCTTCATGTATGGCGCAAGTATCGGTTAAGGGAAAATCCAGGATTATCTTGTGGCTTCTAACTGTTTGTGGCATAATGATGTTCTTGTCTGGCATCTCATTGTATGCCAGACAAGAACATCATTATGCATGTTCAATTTCCAGTTTGTCCAAGCATTGTTATTATGGCAAAGCTCTTCAGCTTTAGTTAAGAAGAAAACTTTGTCAAGTTATTTGAAGAAATTGGTGTGCAGTAGTCATCTACTATAAATAATCACTTTAGTGGTCTATGGATATGTCAACTAAAGGAAACATAAAAAAAACACTGGCTTGCCACAAGCCAGTGTTTTGATGGCAGTATAACTATCTTCCAATATGACCTAAAATACACTAAAGCCGCGTATCGATTATGCGCTCCAAGAGGTCGAACATTGGCGCAGGCTAGAGCAGCGCGAAATGGATACCGCCATGGAACGCGCGCCAAATTGTTCGTTGGAATGCTCAAACGTGGAGCGGGCCGCTCCATCTTGTGTCGGTTTTTTACCGCGTATCAAACGCGCATTACTTTAACTATTATTTAGTAGTTTAGTATTAGTTGGGACCTTTGTTTTCATTATTCGTGTGTTCGTTGCGTTCCGAGCTATGGATAACCAAAGTTGCCGTAAATTAATAGAATTATATAGTTTAACAGATCTCCTGGGGAATAGCAATAGTAGTTTTTATCATAATGAAGCGCTCAGAGGAGATGCATAGAACTATGAAAGCGGCAGTTGCTCGTACACATTGGAACATTTGGCGCGCGTTCCGAGGAACGCACTAATCGGCTCGGTCATTAGTGGCGCGCACGTCAGGAACGCGTAATCGATACGCGGCTTAACATGATGAGAACTTGCTTTTAGAATGGGAGGCATCTGCTGCTACCAATGTTTTGTGGATCACTCAAGAACTGACAATTAATTACTTGTTATGTTTAAATTGATAATTGCTTGATGGTGTGCCAACCTGGCAAGAGATACAGGAAGTCAATGAATTCAGGTAGCTCTGGACCAGTTTTTATAGCATTCCTTAGCATTCCTATGTTCAGCAATAGGCTTCCAATGGGCTGTAATAATGATGATAAAATTTCTGCTCTCAAATGTAACATAATAAATCTTAAGTCTAATGCAGGGGTGGTAAACCTTTTTATGTTAATACAAATTGGTTTAATTTTGAGATAATGTTAATATTTACCTAATAATATAATGAAAATATATAAAAATAAAGTCAATTTTAATTATTTTGATACTCTACCTCATGCATAACCCGTTTGTGCTTGTCGTGTAAAGTAGGTGTACCATCACTAGTCTAACACATTCAAGCGCGTACTTTTCTTATATAAAATTTATTTAACACAAGCAAATTTAATTAATTGGAGGTAATATTTATATTAATTGAAAACTTAGTGTAAAACTATTGTTGGTAAGCAGTTTGAAGCCCCCCCGCCGCCGCGTTTCGACATGGCATCGGGATACGACCGCGGCGCTGACAAGAGGGACAGGGAACGTGATTACAAACGGGACTATCCTCGTCATGTATCATGTAAGTTACACCATTAACCCACACACCTGACCTAACTTGTCAATGAGAAATGTGATTTACATACCAAAATCAGATAAAAGAAGTTTTTAGTAAAAAATCCTTTTGTGTTGCCTATACATAGCATGACGAACAAAGTGTTTGCATAATATATGTAAATATAAAAAAATACTTAGTCTCAAATTTTTTACTAATTTAGTCTTGCACTGTTTCACTTTCTAGCTGGAAGTATGAAATACCCTAGCAATGGCAGTGCTAGTGACGACACCAGGCAACCTATGCCACCTGGTACTCGACCTAAAGAACCAAGGTAAATATTGTTTTAATACTAGCTAAGTTTAAATGAAATATATTCCATTAAAGTCTAAGGCCATATAGCTTGAACAACTGATAACCAATGTTCAACTGAGCACAGTGAATGGAAATGGGGAGATCTCCCACTGGGCAAGGTATTCAGCCCGTGGAGCGGCCAACGCTCCGTGTGTTTGTACAGAGCTGTTTTATATATAGTGCAGTACTTCGGAACTTTAGCTTGTGGCGCGACGACAGCGCCGCTACATTTACATTAATATTAAAGTTTCAGTACCGTAAAACCTGGCAACTTTGCCATTTTTGGAAAGACTTAAAAGTTTAAGACCAATTTTCCAACATAAAATGTACTGTGAAATTGGGTGCTTGGGATGTTAAATGTGACATACAAATATTCTTCATAGATTTGGTATTTATTTATGATTTAAACAAATACTAACATTAAATAGACAATACTCAAAAATAGAAAATGGCAAAGTTAACCTCACTTTGTGGCAACTTTTCCATCAGGGTTTATAATGAAAATAATGGGGTTTGACTTCAAGGTTGGAGGTAAGTTATGATTTGATTCTTTAATTATGTTGCAAATAGCAAAGTTTACGCTTGTGGCAAAGTTGTCCTCCTAGTTTTCAATTTTTAATACAAACTTGAAAATATGTGTAAGAGTTGTCAAAAATCCTTGATTATATACTTAACTTAATTTTTTTATTTAAATCTTGTCACAATAATTTCTTAAGGAAAAACACTCGTCTAAAATTAAAAATTAAATTGGTGCAATAATAAGCTATAAATCAATTATAGTATAGAATTTAAAAAGCTTGTGTAATGTTAAATCTCTAAAACCTACAACTAGCACAATAAATGACTTATTCTATTCTATTTTTAACAAGTATTCGTTTCTTTTATTAGTCATCATCACCATTACGAGTTGTATAATTATTGTAATCAACCTAAATATTGTTTTCCCACAATAGTAAAACATTTACACTTACATATTAAAAATGACTTATTAATGGTGAATTGTTGTGACTTAGGAATGATGAATTATTAATGTTTTGCTATTATGTACTAGATTAAATTGTTAATTTAAACTAATAACTTAATTTAATATCACTACACTATGTTAAAATTATGAAAAATACTGAGTAGTAATAATATTATTATTTCTCGACCATGCAATAAAAATAATATAGATTTCTCAATTCTTTTCCTTCTTTTTTAATAAATATGAATTGATGTACGACTAATGGGCTGCTACGTGAAACATCGATACAAACATACATAGAATGTCCAGTGCAGAACACTTTGTTTAAATAGTTGTAATGGGTTGAAAGTGACATTTTTGTACCAGTACACCCCTGATGGCAAAGTTAACATCCATTGGTAAAGTTGCCAGACCTGACTGTACATAAAAACTTACAATTCAATATTTTTATTTTTACTCAGCCGCTCATACGATTCGCGGGATAGCCGGTCATATCGTCCATCCCCTCCAGGAAAACCAGAACCCCGCAACTGGAATGCCTCAAATCGTTACCCTGAAACTGCTCCCCCTGCTAAAGGTAAATATATTGTTTATTACTAGAGTGGTAAGAATGCATAAAAACCCTTAGGTAGTAAGTGGCCATTACAGCCAAATCTCAACAAAGAGTTCTACTCTACAGATGCATTGTTAGTCCTGAAAATATCAGAAATAAAATGAGAAAAATAAATGGTTGTAATGACCTTGTTCAGCTTCTTTTTAAAACAAGTGACAAAAGAAATTACAGTCCACCTGCTGCCAACCTCAAAGAAGGAAGACGTAGATGGAATCCCTCACAGCTTTTAATTATCTTGAGTCTCTATACGCTTCAAGTCGGAACACAGTAGTAGCTCAAGTACTGCTATTTGGCGGCAGAAATAGTTAAGGGGGTTGAATCTACACAGACAAACTTCTAGATAGAAAAGTAGTCCTACCACCTACAAAAATAACGCTGGTTGGTAAAGGAGACTTAGTTTCTTTCTTATTTATTCATATTATTCATATTTATCTAATATATTATTATTATTTTGTAACAATATATATAAACGAAATACCTTATTATATTTTATAATTTTCATTATTTATAAAAAGAAAGAATTATTATGATTTCTGCCTTGTTCAATGACAATAACTCAAATATTGATTCATTTATGACACCTTACTCTGAAAGCGGCAGTAGTGACGATAGTTTTCACAGTACGGATTTCACTCCTTTAAACGAAGTCCTATTTTCTCAATTCTCAGATGTACTGAAAAATTTCAATGTTATCCATATTAATGCCTAAAATATTTCGGCACATTTTCCAGACATGCTTGCATCATTTAACACTAGTTTCCTCAGTGCTATTCTTGTCTCCGAGTCGTGGCTCAAACCATGTTTACCTTCCACATGCTATTCACTACCAGGATTTAATCTTATTCGAAACGACTGAGTAGGGCAGGGTGGTGGTGGGGTAGCAATTTACCTTAGATATGATATTCCTTTCAAGATTATTAAGTTGTCTACTCAACCACCCTTGCCTAATGAAGCTGAACATCTATTACTGGAAATTACATTATCTAACACCAAAATCTTACTGGGCGTTTTTTATAGCCCCTCCCTCCATGTGAATTATTTCCACTCATTTGAGAAAACACTTGAAGATCTGACTCCTCTATACAATCACATTACTCTAATGGGCGATTTTAACACTTGCATGATAAAGAATGATCACCACACTAAAAGGCTGCGCTCTATTACTGACTCATGTAATTTACATATTCTGCCACTTAACGCTACGCACACTTTGCCTAACTGTATTTCATCTTTGTTAGATCTTATCATAGTTTCATCTCCTGATCACGTGTCAAAGCATGGTCAATGTGCAGTTGTGGCATTCTCTCATCATGACCTCATCTTTTTATCGTATAAAATACGCACTCCTAAGCTTCGAGGCAAGGTACTGATGCTACGAAATTTTGGTAGGATTGATATTGAACGTCTTCAAGAGGATGCTCGGAATGCTGACTGGTCTGCTGTATGCTCTGCTGACTCTATAGACCTAAAAGTTGAAACACTAAACTACATCTTAATTAACCTTTACGACACCCATGCACCCGTCAGACCAGTTAAAATTAAACACACCCCTGCACCGTGGCTTACAGATGATATTAAATCACTGTTAAATAAGAAAAATAAAGCTAGGCTTATTTATAACAGTGATAAATCGGACCACAATAGGGACACGTACAGGAGCATACGGAATCGCTGCAATACAATTTGTAGAGATGCACAACAACGCCATGTTCAAAAATCAGTCGAGAATAGAGACCCTGCAAAAATTTGGAAGTTTCTCAGATCAATAGGAGTTGGAAAATCTAAAGAATCCACAATTTCGAATGAAGACGTTGATATTGAATCACTAAATCAACATTTCTCATGTACATCTTCATTTTTAAATGATAATATAAAATCATATACTTAAACAATCTGTCTAAAGCATCACCTCCTAATTTCTCGCCGTTCACCTTCAATCAATTTTCCGACTGTGATGTTAAGAAGAACGTTTTGTCCATATCGTCAAGTGCTATCGGATGTGATGATATTAGCCGTAAAATGATCGTCCCCCTGATTGATATTATTCTCCCCATCCTTACTCATATTTTCAATTACTCCATATCCTCTGGATCCTTTCCTCGAATCTGGAAGGAAGCTAATATCATTCCTCTTCCTAAAAAGAAGAACCCCTGTTCTCCTTCAGATTATCGACCTATATCTATCCTTCCATTCCTTTCAAAAGTTCTTGAACGTTTGGTATTTGCACAATTTAACCACTACCGAAATAAAAACTCCCTTCTTGACTCCTTTCAATCAGGGTTCAGACTTGGTCATAGTACTGTTACAGCTTTACTTAAAATCACTGATGATATTCGCTGGGGTATGGACCAACAGCAGCTCACTATTCTTACGTTGCTGGATTTCAGTAACGCTTTTAACACCGTCGATTTTGACGTATTGTTGAGTCTGCTACGTTCTATTAACATATCTCCAGCGGCAATTGAATGGTTTCAAAGCTATTTGCGTGGCCGCCGGCAGCGTGTTATGGTAGAGGGTGCCACATCTATGTGGTGTGAACTAACTGCTGGTGTACCACAGGGTGGCGTGTTGTCTCCTCTCCTTTTTTCTGTATTTATTAATTCTATTACTTCACGAATTTCTTCTCTCTACCATTTGTATGCAGATGATCTCCAAATTTACTCCCATACATCACTCCAGAATCTTACCAATGCCATCAATGACACCAATACGAATCTTGCTGCAATACTTGATTGGAGCAGGTCGTTCGGGCTTAATTTAAATCCCAAAAAGACCCAAGCCTATAACAAGCAAGATAACCTTCCACCTATTATTGTTGATGGTGTTGTGATACCTTTTAGTAAATCTGTAAAAGACCTAGGATTATATATTGATCAGAATCTTTCTTGGTCCCTGCATATTAAGGAGTCCAGCAGAAAGATGTTTGCGGCAGCATCTTATTTAAGACGTTTGCGTAACTCGCTTCCCATTCCTACTAGAATTTTACTGGCACAGTCTTTGTTACTCCCTATCCTTGATTATGCTGATGCATGCTACTCCAATCTTACTGAGGATCAATTAAATAAACTTGAGCGTCTTCAGAATTTCGTTATCAGGTTCATATTTGGCCTTCGCAAATATGATCACGTTTCTTCAGAGTACCGTATTAAGCTCAAGTGGCTCCCTATCAGGCTTCGTCGGAATACTCATATTCTATCTCTACTGTACTGTGTACTATTTGATCCTAAAACACCGAGTTATCTTAAAGAAAAATTTGAGTTCATGGGCGCAAATAAAGATCATTCCAGAATAGCTGATAAACTTTTACTGCGTATGCCTGCTCACAACTCAAAATTTTTTCATTCCTCCTTTTGTGTCAAAGCAATCAAATTATGGAACTCGCTTCCTTTAACAATTAAAAAAGCCCAAAGCATTGAGTCTTTCAAAAATGTGGTTAAAGATTATTATTTAAATATGTGCTCTACTTAATATATTTTATTGTCATATCTACTTTATAAGGTTTATGTATATGATATATAATTATAATGTATTACAGAAATATTTATAAAAGTGTATGTATTCTATGTATGTATATGTAGGTATATGTGTATATGTATATATTTGTTTATGTGTATAGATATATATAATATTATTTTTAATATATGCTTGTTTATCTACTATTTATGCACACTTCTATATATTTAAATGAAAATTATCTGCTTCACCAAGGTTTACCTGGAAGAGATCGCTGTTTAGCGATAAGGCCACCTAATTGTACATTCGTTGATAAATTTAAGTTTGCTGTGTTGTGTAGTTTTATGTGCAATAAAGAGTATAAATAAATAATAAATAAAAAATCATCTCTGACATTATTTATATGACTAGGAAAAATAGTAATATTTTTAGATTGATGTCTGTTTTGAACTCCTAAAATTTTATTAAGATTTTGACAGATAAGTCATATAAATAAGATTATATTACATTTTATATAATTATTAGCTGGCCAGGCAGACGTTGTTCTGCCCTTTCCGACAACCCTTCCTATGAAAAAATATTGAAGGCCATTTATCGAGATAAAAAGTATCCTGTCTCTCAAGTTGGACCAAACTGCACACAGTGTACAAAATTTCATTGAAATCAGTTCAATAGTTTAGGAGTTCATCGCAGAAACAATGTGACCAGGCAGACGTTGTCCTGCCCTTTCCGACAACCCTTCCAATGAAAAAATATTGGAGGCCATTTATCGAGATAAAAAGTATCCTGTCTCTCAAGTTGGACCAAACTGCACACAGTATACAAAATTTCATTGAAATCAGTTCAATAGTTTAGGAGTTCATCGCGGACAAACAATGTGACATGTAATTTTTATATATAAAGAAACATAAATATCAACATAACGTCTAAATCTTGTGACCAAATTGCAACAAATGTATGGGTGTATGTAATTTTATGAATACGTAGTAATAATCAGAAGATTTCAAATCTGAAGCTGATAACTGAACTAACAAATATTGCTGACGAACTGTGTCAGTTTAGCAAATTATATAAATAGTATGTAGAATTTTTAAAAAAAATGTATTGAATATGTAATTTAAGCATTTAGCACAATGTAACAAGCAGATGAGCGATCTCTCCAGCACTATAAAACTATTTTAAAGCTGGTATATTATGTACATAAGATCCATTCCATCTGAGCCATGCCTACCACTATACACAATATAGGCAAGATGATGCCAACCACGTCACCAACCTACTCTACTATGCACAAAACCTATGTAATTAATAATAATTTTATACCATGCGTGCAGGATAATCCTGATTCATGATTAATTTATAAAATTTAATAATATTTATCTAACTTTTTTTAGTTTTATTTTGAACATCCTGCATCAAAACATTTGAAGTAAGTGCGCAATGCAAGCTATTATTTTAGTCAAGGGGTGAATATATTTCGACAAAATCTTATTAGTAAGTTAGTAAGTTAC